CAGATTCTCAGTTGGTCAATAAACTTTTCCTTACTCCAAACTCTGACATTTTGAGTTTTGGCTTTTTGAAGCATCAGGCACACAAACTTGGGTTCTGTAAGGTGGGGAGTAAAAGGAGGGCAGCCTACTCATAGAGAACTGTGCTAGTCACTGAAAAAATTCTGACTTTTAATCGGGTCTGGGTAGAAGACAGCAGGGGCCAGGCCAGTTATGTGGCTATGACAGTAGGTGGGATGACTTTAGGGCTGCCCACAGCTGCCTCAGGCAGTGGGAATTCTTAGGGTAGATCAGGAATGACCCTCAGTTCCTGTCTTCCCACCTTCCCCATGAGAACTTCCTGTTTTCACCACCTCCATCCACCCACAAGCAAAAATTCAGAAAAATGTTGTGAGCTGCAAAAGGTTACAAACTTCCTTAATGCCCATTGAAGTGTCATAAACTGTACATATTACTTTATTCTTTACCACATTCCTGTAATCCCAGTTTCACAGATAAGGAAACAGAAGCCAGGGAAACTAAAACTAGATCCCTAAGCCAGTGCGGCTTCTGGTGGCACCATGCAGCGTCCCTGCTGGGACAGTCTGTCATCTGATATCGGGCACTGAGCTGGACTCTATGTGAGAGCTTCCCAGGGCCATGAAAATGCCTGACCAGAGTTTCTGATGAAGAAAGGCATAAAAGGCTCAAACAAGCCAGTTAGCCGCGATGCCATGCAGCTCAATTCCTTCTCTTCCATCCTCACACTGACTGAGGACAGCGTTGTCAGACACCAAGGAAGTGTGCAGGAGAAACATGCCACTCTCCCCTCCCCCCGCACCTGTGACTGTGGACTAAAGGAGAAGTCGCTCCTAACTCCTTATTGGTTGGCCAGTGACACAGCAGGGCACTCCTGGAACAAGCACTCTGCTTTTGCTTCTTCAAATTACAAAGAACCATAATAGGGTCACTTTTAGTTCCCTATCTATGGGCTTAGAAACCCAAGCAAAGGCCATCTGGGCTTTTGGTCTCCATGGGAGCATCCCAAGGACTCAGTTGAAGTAGAATTTATTTTATTTTATTTTTTAAAATATATTTTTATTGATTTCAGAGAGGAAGGAAGAGGGAGAGGGAGAGAGAGAGAAACATCAACGATGAGAGAATCACTCATCAGCTGCCTTCTACACGTCCCCTACTAGGGATTGAGCCCACAACCTGGGCATGTGCCCTGACTGGGAATTGAACAGTGACCTCCTGGTTCATAAATTGATGCTCAACCACTGAGCCACACCACCTGGGCAGGATTTGTTTTATTTTAAATCAATATATTGCCAGGTATTGCAGTCCTAACCCAGAAGAGCATGTATAAATCCCAGTATCTGGATTCAAAAGAATTAGCTAATAAGGGAAGGAAGGTCCCAAGGGAAAGGGACCAGATACCTAACATGAAGTCACAACCACCTTTCGAAATAGTGATGTTGCCATTCATTCAACACATACTTACTGAGCATAAACACTGTGTCAACACTGTTCCAGGTGCTCTGGAAGCGGAGGTGAAGGAGAGAAGCTTATAAGGGGAAGCAGGCACACCCAAAACAGGGAGGCTCAGTAACCTGCCAGATCCTGGGGTTACGCTCATACTCCACTTACCTCTGTTTACTAGGAAACTGGTGCCCTGCTGTAATTAACAGGGTTTTGGGGTAGGGGTAGGGGCTGAGGAAGATAGGAGAGGGAATGGCTGAAAAGGAGGTATTTTCCTTTGGTGGGCATTTGACAATCACATGGAATCTGTGCTGGATTATAGCAAGGCTTCGGGAGGAAATAGGTCCTTATTTTGGAATCAGGACTTATATCCAAGCCAAAACTCACTAAGTCTCTCTGAGCTTCCCTTTGAATCTCTAATAAAATGAGGTTAGCCTAGCAGGAATAGTAAATGGTTTCCTCTTACCCAACAATTCAACCTATTCAGAGGGGCTGAGGCCACCGTTGGGCTGAGCAGGAAGAGCCACACTGACGAGTGATGTCTGCTAGGAGCGTGGGGGATGGCTAACCTAGGTGACCATCCAAGGCCTCTGCCACTTCTGATAATTTAAGTAAGGTGTCTGAGTGGGAGTCATTTCCATTTTGATGACAGAACTAAAACACCTCTTCTTTCATGACTTTCTAACCAATTCACAGAATGTTCCTTAACAAGACAGACTGCCTATTTTCTGACATGACCTTGGAAATATGTTGTGTTTAATTTTTAACTTTAAACCGTCTGTTACTCTAACATTTTTACAAGAACCTAGAAGTTTTGTTCTTTAGATGCTCCACTGAACAAGAGTTCATCCTCACCACTGGGCTTTGTGGTCCTGTTCCCAAAGGTCTCCCAATCCACACGCCATTTGCAATGTGGCCTTCCCCCAGACCACATGCTAAGTAGACCTGGGGCTGCTTTGACCAATAAAAGTATGATGGAAGTGATGATGGGGAAATCTGGGTGAAAGGTATACAGAATTATTTGTACTATTTCTGAATTGCTTCTGTAAGTTTGAAATTGTTTCAAAATTAGAAGTTAATTAAAAAAAAAATTTTTTTTAAGAAAGGCCTGGTAGCTTCCACTTTTGCATACAATCATGGAAGGAGCCACTATCTGAGGCTGTCACACTGTAAGGAGGCCCAAGCCAGACATACTGAAGGGCCATGTGGAGGGAGGGGGAGAGAGAGATAACAGAGAAAAAAATCCCCAAGGACAGGACATTAAATAGCTTTCAAATGCATTTATGAAATAACTAGAGGCCTGATGCACAAAATTTGTGCAAGAGTAGGCCTTCGCAGCACTGCCTGCTTCAGCCCTCACAGCTCCGGGTGCCTTGCAGCCCCGTCCTCTGCCCAATGGTTGTTCTGGAAGGTGGCTCCGGAAAGTTGTTCTGCCATCTGTTCTAATTAGCATATTAGCTCTTAATTATATAGGATGAGATAAACAGAGCCTTTTCACCCTAAGAAATAAGATATTATTTTCTCAAAAAAGGCTGAAATAACACCAAAGGTAAAGAAAGAAGATGAAGGCTGTATATTTTGCAAGCCCAGAAAGCACTTATTCTAAATAAGCTCACATCCATCGAATGCTAGTTACAATCAGTATAAACAATACAGGTCTAGAAATGGCCTATACACTATAGACCACGGGGGCTATGCGTGGAAGACATAACACCAGGCAGGCACTGGGCTGAATTTATTGGATAACCCAGATGTTAGGCTGACTTTTCTTTTCATTGACATATAACATCTAAGGTAGTGCACAAATAGTAAATGTACAGCTTGAAAAATGTTTATACCCGGATTAAGGAAAAGAAGATTCCTAATACTCCAGAAGGTTCCCTTGTGCCCTTCCCAATCAATAACCAACACCCCTCTCGCCCTACTCCATAGCCAGGAGTAAACACAATTCTGGTCTTCATCACTCTTGATTATTTTGGCTTGTTCTTGAATTGTACGTAACTGGAATCATACATTATGTGGTATTTCACTCTGCCTTCTTTCATTCATCACAGGGTTACCTTGTCTTGAAGCAGAAAACCGGAAACTGAGATTTATTTTCAGGAAATCCCCCTCTGATGTCACAGATCTGAATGCCAAATATTCTGATTTTACTGGCTATACTTCCTGCACTCTTCCGAGCATGAGCTATTTAAAACTTACAGCAAAACAGAATCTTGGATTGTAAAAGCTTTCCTTTAAGATAAACCAAATCTTTTAAAGGTATGAACACCTATTCAATCCTTAGCATAGCCTCTGATCTGACACTATAAAAGTATTACTTTTCCATATTGAGTGTAATTTTCCTCAAACATATTTTTCTTCCTTGGAATCCACCCATTCTAAAGAATCCTCAAATCCCAAAATAAAATAAGCCATTGATTCTGCTACTACTTTTGATTAATAAGGGGATAAGCTTTAGGAAAATCTCAGAGGCAGCCTAAGGCCCTAAATTCAGATGAATGTGGGTCAGAAAAGACAGGAGAGAGACAAGAGTACAGCAAGAAATTAGAGGTACAAGATTCTTCAGCTGAACTATCTGAATTAGATTCTGGGATCTGCAACTTCTAGCTGGAGGACCTCAGGCCAATCATTATTCCACTCTGTGCCTCAATTACTTTACTGTAAAGTGGGAATAACCTCATAGGATTGTTGCAAGGATTAAATGTTAATGTATATATAAAGCTCGTAGGAGACCACACGGCACATAATAAGCACTCAATAAAAATTAAGCTGAAAGATAGAGCAACTATTCCATAAAGGTTCTGAGACAGAGCAGTCACCGAGACATTTAGTACAGTGCTTCTCAAGATATTTCCTTTTTACCCTTCACAGACTGATACTTTTATAAAATGCAAGCTCACATGCTTGAATGTCAGGGAAATATCAAATTGCTTTAAAGGTTTCTAAATGTTTACTCTCACTTCTGTGTTTATCTCATCATGGCCCTGGTGCTGCCCATGGACTGGCGCTAGTGTGCACAGTAAATGTTGAGGAGCACTGTTCCAGCACATGAGGACTCACAAGTCAGCTGAGAACTCAGCCAGCAGGTTAAACAGAATTATGAAAACATGTTAGAAAAGAAAACCAACCCCAAAAGTAGGGGCAAGAGGATGACTTGAGGGTCAACAAGCTGAGATAAAATAATCCCAACCGGCTAAACCTGAAAAACAAAACTGATGGCCAGAGCAAAAAGCCAACTGGCCCTTCTCCCTACCCCCCCAGTGCTCCAGAAAACATGTCGGCCTGGAAGTCATCAGCCCCACGGGGAACAAGAGCAATCAAGGAAGTAGGCAGAACTGTTTCAGGTTTCCTGAGAAAGAAGTCCTCTCAGGAATAAGCAGCCACCCTAAGCACTCACCAAGCTTTGAGAATGTCAACCACGGCACACAAAGGCCAGAGTTTCCTCTCTGTCCAAGAACACTGGCAAATACGTCTTTTGGTGACGTGGGACTGCACACCCCTCTCCCCCATATCCACCTATACATACACCCTTCACATACCTGTGGTTTTAGGAGGCTCCTGAGGTCCGCCTTGCCAGCCATACTGTGGGTATCCTTGGTAGGGGTACCCCTGAGGAGGTGGGTAAGGTCCTCCCATAGGTCCTGGAGGGTAGGCCTCAGGGCCCATTGGTGGTTGTGGATAAGGTGGGTACGGGGCCGTCGGGCCAGGGCCCGAATATGGTGGAGGGTTCCCTGGGTTCATTGGGGAACTGCAGAATATACCTAAAAGACAAAGAATAAAAAGTATTTGCATTTAATCAGTGGAAATCATTAGGAAGCAAATTTCAACCCAAGAGATCATTTACAAAATGCCATAAAAGTATTTCAAACTTCTTGAAAATCTTCAGCTCTGCCTAGTAGTTTTTTTCCTTTTCACGATCATAATTGGCAAATATCTTATGCATCTGTTTGTTAGTCTTTGTCTGACTTCCCCACTAGACTATAGGCTGGGACAGCAGAGATCAGGTCTATTTTGAATCCTCACCTGACCCTAGAGCTTAGCATTGTGCCTGGCACAAGGCAGGTCCCTCAATAAATGTGTTGAGTGAAGAACAGAATATTATTTTGTGTTTTAATTGCCTGAAATGTCCATAAATGTGACTGGATAGCTAAAAAAATAAATAAATAAATAAATAAAAGCACAATGTCTAATAGCACTAATTATAAGTCAGATCAGCAGACACTGACCCAGTACCAGCAGTCCTCCAATAAAAGGGTTGGGCCACATGGGGTTTTCGAACAAGCAGCACTGCCAGCAGTGACCGACCAAAGCATGTGACTGCCGCCTGCGCCCTGGGCACTGGGTGATCTGGTTGCTCCCTCGGACCCATACCTCTATGCAGCTGAGCAGCGTGCTCAGTCAAAACTAGACAGGGGCAGAGCTGTCTGCAGAGGATGCTGAGCATCTCCCCTGACCATCCAGACTCCAGGGACCCTGGAGCAGCCTACCAGGAATCCCACTTGTGTTTATAGGTTCCTGCTCTCAGTGGCTTGCTTCTGTGAGGGAAGCCATTGCTTCCCAGCCTCCAAGCCTGTTAATCATTCTCTTAATTGGGCTCCAGTCTGCAAGGCCAGCATCTCATTCCCACAGTGCCAACACGGGGACTTCCAGAGGAAAAGCATTACTGGGGAATGCAAAGTCCACACTGGATGAACAGGGAGATACCTGTCATCTTGCTGCCTTGTAGTATTACCCATCTCTAGTATTGCTATTAAACTCTTTACTTATTTGAGTTTCTTCTACCCCTAATTAAATAGTAAGTTAATAAAGGGAACAGTCTCATATATAAAACTTACTTTAAAAAATATTTTTAATTGATTTTTTATAGAGAGGAAGGAAGAGGGATAGAGAGTTAGAAACATCGATGAGAGAGAAACATGGATCAACTGCCTCCTGCACACCCCCCACCGGGGATGTGCCCGAAACCAAGGTGCATGCCCTTGACCAGAATCGAACCTGGGACCCTTGAGTCTGCAGGCCCATGCTCTATCCACTGAGCCAAACCGGTTTCGGCCAAAACTTACTATTTTGAGTATTACTAAATACTCAGTGAATATTTAATTTTGTAAATACTTAGTATTTACTAAATTTTACTTAATTCTTTTTCATAACATGTAATCTAATAAGTGACTCTATCTGACTCTACATGAAGAACAGGACAGCTATTAAGTAAGGATCCTCAGGAAAATCTTAATTAAATTAACAGACTTTGTTGGCTGCCCACACAACCACCACATCCTCCCTCAGTAACAGTGAGAGAAAGAATAGCAAAAGTCACAGAAACAGCATCTGTGCTGGGATCAAAGTCCTTTTGAGAAGCAGGACCTCCCTGATGGGAATCAATTATTCTCAAGCTTGTACAGGAACAAAGCAACATAAAAAATTACCTAACACTAACACAGTCTAGTACAAACCACTTAACATAACCAAAACACAAATGAGCTTTTCATTTAAGGTATGATACTAAACTTTGTAATATGAACGTTTTCTCTTATAAATTTGGTCAGGGTGAAATGTCAGTCCTACTGGAAGGATCCAATATGAACAGAAATTGTAGCATAAAAGACAAATCAAAGCTCCAAAAAGAGACAGTGCAAATGGAGTAGCAGCCAAGATTGTATTGCATGACCACTGCTATCCAAAGATCCCATTCAAGTCACAGGATTAGCAGATATTTAATGCTACAATGAGAAAAGCAGTAACTATTCTTTGGAAAAGTGGTCCATGGAGATAAGATCACTATAAAAAACCTCATCAAAGTAGAGGTGTAGGAAAAACAATATTTTTCATTATTATTTTAAAATTACCTGGTAGCCTGGCATTGAATCTGTAAGTAGCACACTGGGGAATTTTCCCCTGGAAAAACTAAAGAGTCCCAATGGAAAAAAAAAAAAAAAAAAGTATTGATAACTAAAAGCTGAGAAGATTCCAAGAAATAACTCACCCAGTCACCTCACAGTAAAGCCCATCTACACAGATCTTCTAATCAATTTTTTATTACCTCATAAATAAATGAATGAACAAAGATTATCAGACATTTGGAGAGCATGCATTGTAAAAGACAAAGAAGAAAAACAGAAAACAGGAAGAAAAAAAACCCCACACCCTAATATCCAACAAGAGAAAAGAGTTAAATTATAGTACATCTACATAGTTCTTTTGCTGTCATTTTGATTTGTTTTTGAAGCATTATGTAATATTAATTTTAAGAAAAAATTTAAAGCTACATATACAGCACGACCCCAAGTTTCTTTACTATAAATACTAATATGCAATATAGCAAACCTCCAGATAACCCCGATTACCCACTAAAGGACTACAGAAGGAATGCTCACATATCCAGACCTCGTGACATCCATTATCCAGATCAACAGTCATCTCTAGAGGATCACACTCTCAGACAAATCCAGAGGCTAAGAAGGCAGGACTGACTTTTCTCAAGAATGTACTTGTTACTATAGAACTCTTAGCTTTCTTCCTCAAAACACTCTGGGTATTGCCTACTCGTATTTCCAGCTTGCAAACCCTGACCTTTGGATACATTTTTAGTATTTATTTCTAGCAAAGCCTCCAGACTCTTTTTGAGTTCATTCCACAATATTCTTGTGGGAGTGTGGAAATGAACCTTGATCCTCATCCTTATAAACAAAAAATAATTCACACTATATCATGGATCTATATATGAAAACTAAAACAAGCTTTTGGAAGGATATAATGTACTCATGACTTTGGCAGTATTTACTTTATGACTTACCTACTCTTAGATCTATACTGAGATAAAATGAGTGCCTAAGTCCACTGAAGACATATGTAACAATGTTCAAAGCAGCTTTACTTATAATAGCTCCAAACTAAAAACTATCCAAATGTTCCCCAAGAGCAGAACTGATAGATTATGGTATAGTTAAATAACAGAAAATTGCTCAGCAATTTTAAAAAAACAACCCAGAACAATATTACATACAATAATGTGTGTGTGGGGGTAGGGGGGTGGTTAAGAGGTCTTATAGTAACAAGTACAGACAAAGATGAGCAAAATAAGACAGACTCAACAGATGTCACACTGTATGATCCCATTTATGTGAGGTTCAAGTACTGCCAAAATGGAAGAGGCGCAAGGACAGCCTTCTGGGATAATGGAAATGTCTACATCTTGAGCTGAGTCATGTTTACATGAATGCTATGAACTCACTGAGTCGTATGTTAAGATTTTCATACTTGCCCTAACCGGTTTGGCTCAGTGGATAGAGCATCAGCCTGCGGACTGAAGGGTCCCAGGTTCGATTCTGGTCAAGGGCATGTACCTTGGCTGTAGGCACATCCCCAGTGAGTGTGTGTGTGTGTGTGTGTGTGTGTGTGTGTGTGAGGCAGCTGATCGATGTTTCTCTCTCATCGATATTTCTAACTCTCTATCCCTCTCCCTTTCTCTCTGTAAAAAAAAAATCAATAAAATATATATTTTTTTTAAAAAGATTTTCACACTTTAAGTCATACAATAACAGCAGATGGACAAAATTTGGCTAGAAGGAAATATCTGGCTGGAATTATAGGCAATTGTTATTTATTTATATTCATTTTTGTATTTCTGAAAGTTTGACTAAGGCAACCTTTATAGTCTTTTAAAAATATATATATTTTTAGCCGGGACCGGTTTGGTTCAATGGATAGAGCGTCGGCTTGGGGACTGAAGGGCCCTGGGTTCGATTCCGGTCAAGGGCATGTGCCTTGGTTGCGGGCATATCCCCAGTGGGGGGTGTGCAAGAGGCAGCTGATCGATGACTCTCTCTCATTGATGTTTCAAACTCTCTATCTCTCTCCCTTCCACTCTGTACAAAAATCAATAAAATATATTAAAATATATATATATTTTAAATTTATTTCAGAGAGGGAGAGATAGAAACATCAATGATGAAAGAGATTCAATGATTGGCTGCCTCTTGTACATTCCCTACTGGGGATCAAGCCTGCAATCCAGGCATGTGCCTTGACATCCTGGTACATAGGTGATGCTCAACCACTGAGCCACACTGGCCAAGCAAGTTTTCTTAGTGCTTTTCATTCTATCTCCTTTTTTTGTTTTTTGTTTTTTTAATGCTACATGCCTTTGTAGACCTTCTATTCACTTCCAGTACCGATTTTTCTTCCTGTTACTAATCTCCTTGTTGGTAACCTATTTTATGTCTGCTTTTCACAGTGACTTTTGTAATTGTGTTTCTTTTTTCACAAGACACTTTCAGGTCCCTAAGTTCTTTAAATGTTTTTTCTCCTTCAAGTCAGACGTGGGATAAAAAAGCAAAATTCCCTTGATTACATGCAGACTTTCCCATCTTGTAAGTGATCTTATGGTCAAAGCCAGGAGCCATGCTCATCCTTCCATCCTTACCTATCCTTCTTGGGAATTTATAAATTATCCTTAAAGTTTAAAAACATGAGATCAGATCTTATTCTAAAGACCTCCTCTGTGTCTTTTTTTTTTTTTTTTAAACTCCCTGATTAGCTGGCCTTTTAATAGGACCTTTGTAAATAGTTTATTTTATATTCTAGGGCCCTCAATTTTTCTTGATTCTCATACCCACAATATGGGTATGGTTAGGCTAAAAAAAGCTTTAGAATTACTTGTTCTGTGCTGTTCTGTCATCTCGTTTGCAGTTTTTGTAAACCTGTAGACCCAACATTAGTGGTTCCAGGCACTGCTGAGATAATGGTAATAAGCAAGAGACAA